ACCAAGCTCAACGAGTCGCCCCCCAGCCCAGGCCAAATAACCGAGAAATCTTGCGATTCCTTCAGGGCCAGCCTATACAGATCAGCCGCCCCGCGGCCGACCGAGTCGCGCGACGCCCCCAAGTTTGCAAAGAAATCGGCCCAGGCATCCCCTTGGACACAGCAAAAAGGGCCCCTGCTCAGGCCCGAGGCAAACAGCACCATCGAGGTCCTTATGGGCGGGGCACCAGTGCACTACATGGCGGGCCCCTCCCCGAGACTCAACTACAGCATGGATCTGCCCCCGCACTGGCGCTCGCTTGCCCGCTGAACTGGTGGCGACCGAACTCCATTCACGTGCTTCCTGGGCAAGGCCAAAGAGATCCGCGACAACTATCTCCACCGACGGTAACTTTTGCAACGCACGCAGCATCGCCACCCGCTCGGCTTCGCCAACTGTCTGGCTCGGCCCCGCAGGCGCGCAGCGGGGGCCCTGCGTTAGACATCTGGGCGAAGGCCCATTCGCAGCTGCGAATTTCTGGCTGATTCGACCACTTCCCCGAGCCGCCGTGAACACGACGTTGCATCTCTGGCTCGGGGGGTGCTCCAATCGCCCCACCAGGAGATCGGTGGGTCCCGAAGTGGCTGCACGCGAGGGCCCAGCAAAAGTGGCATGCCCACCGACAGCTCAAAACTGCGTGGATCTGGAACCCCTCCGCGCCCGCCTGGGCCGCGGGCCAAATACCATTTCGAATTTGAATTTGAACTTCTGCGATGGACACCTCCTCTTCTTCGTCTGGAAGCGTCTCCCGCAGCGAGGGGCGCTGCAAGAGAAGGCGGCCAACGGACTCGCATGGGGCCCCGCGCCCTCGACACTCGGGCGCGTACCCATCAGCATGCGAACGACCTTTCTGCCACCAGGGGCTGGCCCACAAGGATCGGATGACCCCAGCCGGTTTCGCGGTCTCGAGCGCGGCCCCTTCGGGGCCCGCCGAGGCTCGGACCCCGCGGGACCACAACTCGCAACCGACGGGGGCATCGGGAGAATGGGCATGGATCCTACGAATCTGCCACCTCTGGATGCCTGCACGCAGCAACTGAACCACACGATGAGGGCCGATGTGCAATAACGAGAACGACTCACCAAGGTCAGACCGCACAAGTAACGACGACTCCATCGACCCATCGACCCTCACCAATGACAGGCACGCGACCGCCATGGGCCCAGACGCGCGCTGCCACGTGAGCGTTATGCTCGCTGACCCGCCAGGGCCCTCCAAGCCCGCTCAAGCATTCCGAGCGCAACAGTCTGCATCCACACAACATGAGCATAGTGCTTAAAGGGGCCCAGGGTAACCTCGAAAATCGGATCGAACCAAGGGTCGGGCTGAGTCGCAAGGTAGACCGCAATGGACCCACACACACACACACACACACACACACACACGACCCTTGGCACCAACGAGAGCCCCCGCAGCCGCTCGGAGCCTACGGAGCTCGGTGTCAGTCGCGCCCGAAACTCCACAGCAGCGACTAGCCCATGGGAGCAAACCCGTTCTCCAGAGACGCGAAATGTTGTTCCTTGCCGCTTTGCGTAGGGGGAAAGTCCTACGCATCCGACTCCCCAGTTTGGCAAAGATGGCTCTCGTGATCGGTCTTCTCCGAACACGTTTTGACAGCTCGTGCCCGAGGTTGCGAATATTGCGCTTGATCTCAGGCTTAGCCCCGCTAGCCCAACGACGAGAGGCCTGACGGACCGCGCGGCTGCCAGCTACATGCCAGAGGCCGAATCCTGAAGCACAATACCTAACTGCATCACATCTGCCTTAAAGCTGGCCAGGGTAAACCCACCCACGCCGCCCACCCGCCCCCCCCCCCCCCCCCGACCCACCCACCCACTCACCCACTGCGTCTCGAGGTCGTCTACCAACGCTCTTGGCACGACATTACACAGCTTGACCCTGCGCACGGCGCGCAGCATGAGGAGGGCGAGGAGGAAGCGGAGTGGGAGCACCCAGCGAGGAGCCTTTGCCATGAGACAAAGGGCTCGGAATGTGAGGTGAAGGTTTTCAACACACGTGGTTGACGGTGGTACTCCAGCACCAACCATACCCGCCTCAGCAGGAAACCATGACGTCGAGCTTCGTTGAGCACCTCACCAGGACTGAGTTGTTCACAGCACTTCCAAGCGTCGACCGCAGCAGCCGCAGTATGCCAACCCAGCAACGACGCCATCTCTGCATACGCGTCGTGGGCGAATGCCGCAGCCGTCGAGCTCCGTCCAGCACCACTTACGCCCCAGACTTCGCTCATCTCGGTACTGACGATCCATTGCTTCGACATGACACTACGTGCACGTGCCCAAAGCCGAGCCAGGGAATTGACAAGCTGGGCAGCCTGACCAATGCGGTATATATTCGGTTGTCTGGCCAGCATCCCAAAAACTCACATCTGCCAAACAGCCGAGAAATGGCAACAAAACAAACATATGAGAGTTGACACAATATTCGTGGCGATACATTCGTCTGCCCAACAGCCGTGGTCTCCTTGAACTTCAGACACGCGGCACGCAGGAAATCGACCGTCATCCCTGGCAATTGATCCCGGTGGTGGAATTCCGAAAGCTTGTGAAATTGCGCGAGCCCGTGCTTGGCCCAAATACGCTTCCACTTGCTCATCTCTCGATCAACCAACTGCGGTGGGCTCGCCATGGCAGTCTGATCCAAGACTTCCTGCAGCACGTGTACACGGGTAAAACGGTGAGTTTTGTCGGTGCTTTTGTTTAGAGACTCGCGAGCCCACGCCTTCCAAGCCTTAGACTGTTCACGTTCAAAATTGAGCCGCGCATCATCCGCCAATTTCAAGAAACCCCCGTATACCCGCGAGCTGAATCACCCAGCCACACTTCGATACGACGCCTGGGGAACGCCTGCAGCTGAGGTGGGAGCAACAGTAGTAGGGACGATCGAACAACCTTGCAATAAAAGCGCTGTAGCTCTATGAAGACCTGCAAAAGCTACGTAGTCTGAGCAGTCGATACCGTGCACATCAGATTTGCCGCCATCAGGTTCTGGGCCTTGTCACAGAGCAACTGCCATGTATGCCGCCCGTTCTTCAACCATCTAGCTGCCACCTGCAACGCCGCCGTCTCCTTGCTTAGATACGTACGTCGCCGTGGTGGGCGCCACTCAAGTTTGGATAAAGAAAAGGCCACAGGCTGCCCCCGTCCAGCACGTGCAACACGCTCTCGTTGTGAGTGATCCCGTCTGTCAGAAAGCTCGCACTCCATGGCATGGACAATATGATCCCAAGCACGCTGAAGTCCTGCCTGGTCCTGCGCCGCGTCCACGCAACGGACAGTCACCTGCCATTCAACGTAACGAGGAAAACGTGCTCATCCCATCGGAGCCCTGGACCGCCAGCCGCGGGGCTCGCAAGGAACGCGCACCCAAGCTTCAACATCTTGCGCCAGGATGGAAATGGACGGGGAGGTGAGGGTACGCAGCCGCCCCCTGGTCCACATACGGTTGCGAAAGGACAATGCCAGCGGGAGCCCGGATTGGAGAGCGGCGACCCCGAACTCGCAACAACCAGGACCAGCAGGGCCCGTGACCTTGTCGGCAGCGACCAAGAAATCGCAACAACCAGGGACACCAGGATTTCTCATGGGCGGCGACCTGACAATTTCGACAACCAGGGCGAACCAGGACTTGTCATTCTATGGGCGGCGACCGTGGAATCGCAACGACCAAGAACACTAGGACCTGGGACCACGTGGGCGTCGTCCAGGATATTGCAAGAACAATGGCCAGCAGAAACTGGGATGGCATGGGCAGGACCTAGGAAATCGCAACAATTAGGGCGAGCAGGGCACGGCACCGTTTGGGCGGCGACAGGTAAATCGCAACAACCAGAGCCAGCGGCCAGGATTTTTGAGCGGCGGTTACGAAACTCACAGGAACTAGGGCGACCAGGACATGTGATTCCATGGACGGCGACTGGGAAATTGCACCAACCAAACAGAACCTAAAACCGCTGGACATGGTACCCTGCGGGTGGCGCCCAGGACATTCCAACAACCAAGGCAAGTGGAAAACAAGATTCCATGGGTAGCGACAAGGCATTTTCAACAACTAGGGCCAGCGGGACCTTACCCTTTGTTGGCGGCGACCGGGAAATCGCAACAGCCAGGGCCAGCGGCACTTAGGACTTACGAGCGGCGACTACCAAAGTCACAACAACAAGGGCGACCAGGACTTGTGGCTGATTGACCAGGAAACCAAAACAACCAAGGCTAGCGGGGGCCGGTAATCGATGGGCAGCCACCAGGAGATCGCAAGAAGCAGGGTTAGCGGGGAATGGTATATCATGGGCGGCGACCATGAAATCGCAACAGCCAGGGATTCGGGACCTTGCGGGCAGAGACAAGGACATTGCAAAAATGACGACCAGCGAGACCCCAGGCCCGATGCGCGGTGACCAGAAATGTGCATAACAATGATTGCGTATTTCTTGCACTTCGGCGGGGATTGTACGGCTTGATGCTTCAGTATGAACCCCAAACAGTAGTTTTGAACACTTCCGATGTGCGAGCTCCGCCATGCAAGCAATGAGGCACGATTGGGTGCCAGTCATAAGGCACTAGCGCGCATACTGCGAATTGTGACGTTCAGGGTCAGTGCCTTTCAGCACACGGCACAGCCCGTAAGTACAAGCAGAAACTGGGGAAACAAAACTATGGATCCCTTGATGAACTGGCAAACTATTTCTTAGCTCGTCTGAGCCCGTCCTGGGTCAGGCTAAAGGCGTGAACTAGAGGCCAGGCAGGCCGCGGTCGGACCCACCCCATGTGATTCAACATTGATGACCAAAACCTGAAACGTCAAAACCCCAAACGAAATACTCAGGCCTCGTCGCATCGGCTTCGTGTGGGTTGGGGGTGGGCTCTTTGTTGCTCTACTATACACCCGAGGGGCCTTCACGCACGCCTGTTGCTGCATCCGCGGTGGCGGATCTACGCAGGTCGTACGCATGAACATGGATTCACCAGTCAGTGGCTTTCTCTACGAGTGATTCGCATCGCACGGGTCCTGCGTTTCGCCCGCGCTCGCAAGGTGTGGGAGGTCATGCCGGAGCTCCTGACCTTCGTGGAGGGAATGGTGCTCGGTTTGCGAGCGGTGGCCACGAGTTTGCTCATGCTAGTTGGTGTCATTTATGTGTTCGGCATAACTTTCACGCAGCTGCTGGGGGACACCGAGGCAGGGAAAGGGTGCTTCGAGACTGTGCTGACGTCTATGCATTTTCTGTTCCTCACAGCACTTTGCAGCATCGACAAGAGTTTCATCATAAAAATGTTAGATGCAGGTTGGCTTTACTGGCTCCTCTGGTTATCATTCCTATTGATCGCCAATCTCACGATCATGAGGATGCTGACGGGCGTTATCTTGAATCAGACGAATGCTGTCAATGCCAAATGGAAAGACCAAAGCAAGAAGCTTGCCATGGAAAAGCAACTCGGGGAGACCCTTTCTCAACTGGATGCAGATAATAATGGAATTGTCACTGAGAGCGAGTTCACGCTGCTCTTCCAGAACCCATCTCTCCTCAATCAACTATCAAATTTGGATGTGGACCTTGAAACGTTTTCGGATGCGATGCTGGAGGATTGGCCAGCCGGAGATGCGTCGATCAGCTATATCGTCGATAAGGTTTTTACTTACCGCGGTTCCAACACAGCCACCTTTAGGGACGTGATCGATTCCCGGCGAGCCCAACAGAGGATGCATGCGAAGCAGACAAGAGTTCTCGAGGGCATTTTGCTTGGCGCGCAGACCGTGACGCGATGACGTGTTGAGCCCGAATTAGGGTTTTGCGGAACCGTCAGACGTGAGTACAGTCGCCGTCGTCGCTAAGCCCAGCATAGCGTCAAAGTAAGAATTTGGTGGCCCTCGTAGCTAGCAGCCATGAGGAATATAGACAAAAATCATCATCAGCAGCAGCGTCACCACAAGTTAACCATCGGGGGGGACATCGAATGGCCGTCGGCCCATCCCGCCACCGTGCCTGGGCTGTGGTTCAGAGGCCTCTTGAATGCAAATGAGGGTCTCTTGGGGTGCCTCTCGGGGGGACTCTTGGAGGGGACTTGGGAGCTTCAGAGGGGCAACTTGGGGGCATCTTGGGGGCCTCTTGGGGCGTCGTGGGGGAGCCTCGGGAGCCTCTGGGGAACTCTTGGGGCCATCTTGGGGCGGAAAGCTCGAAATGTCCGTTCGTGTTCCCCCTCGTTGGCCCCTCTTGGGGGCCTCTTGGGCCGTCTTGTGGGCCTCTTGGGCCGTTTGGGGGCCTTCCTGGGGCGTCTTGGGGTCCTCCTGGGCGCCTCCTGGGCAGTCCTGGGGCGCTATTTGGGGCTTCTGGGGCCGTCTTGGAGCGTCAAAAGCTTAAAATGGCGAGAAGGTTAAGATTCAAAAATCTAAGGATAATCATTAATTTTAGCCTCTCAGGGCCCTCTTCGGGGTACTCTTGGGCCCCCCTTGGAGTTTCTCGGGGGCCCCTTTGGCCGTCTACAAACCATCTTGAGGATCTGGGGGGCGATCCTGCAGCGACTCGATGCTCTCTTGTTCCGTCTTGGGACCCTCCTGGCTTCCAGAAGACGCACGCCACACACCCCAGAAGCTCCCGTAAATTCCCGGGAGCGCCCAGGAAACCGGGTGTTTGGGTCCTTAAGCATTCATATATTGGTTGCAGCAGCAGCACAGTTGGGAGCTTTAGGGTGCTCCAAGTCGTGCCAAGGGCACGGTGGAGCGTCGTCAAGCAAGAGGCCAAGTCGGCGCCGCCTACTCTTCAAGGCAACCGCATCATGTGTCTAGGCAGGGCCACAGATGCTCGCGCATGATTTTCCTTTCTCGGGCTCGGGGACAGCAAGTTCCGAGGATATTTCATTTCTCGAGGAATGGCGCTGCACGGCTCCAGTTTTGGACACGTCAACCACAGCCATTGTCACTGTCGCCGTCACCCGAGTCTGCGGCCTTGACGAGGGCACGGCGACGGCAGTGGCAGTGCCGAAATTCGCCTGGAGTTCAGCACGACATGAGGGTTTTAACCCGATTTGTATAGTTGCTATTCCAGGGGGACATGTGCTTAGAGGAGGCTGCAGCACCGCTCAACGATGTGAGTCGAGCCTTCAGGATGCACCCTTTCCCTTTTTGATACACTTCAGCTTTTGGCTTCGGCTTCAGCTTCATCTGTGGGTGCTCTTCAGTGCGTCTTCGAGCCTGATCACCCGAGTCGGTTCTTCCGCTCGTCGCACGGGTAGGGCCCACCCATCCCAAAACATGTCTCAAACCCGCATCCCATTTTCGGTGATCAACGCCTCTGCTGGCTTTCCGTCCGCGATCCCCACCGGGCGTCTAGCTAGGATATATGAATGTAATGCACCTGTGTGCCAGGCGCATGGACCTTGGTCGTCGCTCTATTGGAGAGGGTGCCGATCACAGGGTGCGTCAGACTTGCCACCGCCAGTCCGTGGCACGACCCTGGGAGAATGCTCCGCGGCGAGGCCGTCGCAGTGCCCGTATGGTCAGAGCCAGTGACCGCGCTGAAGAAATGGTTGCGTTCAGATCGTCCGCTTCGCTGGGCCCACGAATTCGACGCCCCGTGCTCGCAGAGTGAAGATCGAGAGGGACGATGACCGACAGCAGGTCCCTGCTCATGTTGGCAAGAACTCGCTGCCAGTTTCGAGGCCGGCATGTGGTCGGCTCAGTGGAGAGGCCGTCGGCCTTGCAGCCGCGGCCCAGTTCGGACTTGGAGCCAGCGGGGGGTCTGAGGTGGCCCAGCTCTGGTTACTGTCAGCAGGGAGGGCGGGGAGGTTCGAGGCGCGAGTTCGGAACTGTTTCTGTTGCCTTGTTCTGCCTCCAGGGCCATTACTCGGGCCCCGGGACCGTCCAAAACGGATCCGGGGCGAAAAGCTGCACCAGATGGACCAAGGCAGGGGTGCAGGAACCGATTTTGATTGGACTTTGCGTCATCCCCCCTCCTGACAGAGTTTCTGGAATCCCAACCATTGCAGACATCCTTGCCGCCTCCAATTTCAGACAGTCTCTCCAGTTGGGCACCGCTCCCCCACCTGGTGCTGACATCCCCCCCTTCTTCGCGCGCATCAACACCACGAGATGCCCTCGTTCGGGGAAGAAAAAGTTGCATAAGCATCCATGTTCTGCGTTCCGCGCGGATTCCTTGGATTGGCGCTGGCACCAGCCGGCGCGCCCCGCGCGCCAGAGAGGGGCCCAGCGCAGATCCAAGAAATCCGCGCGAACGTCCACAGTTTATGTTTATGCAGTTTTTGTCCTTCCTCTACCAGCGGGGGCGCTCGGGCGATGAGGCATTGACGGCCCTCCAGCCTGCGGCGATCCCAGATATCCAGCATCGTGTTTTTGTTCGCGGTGTGGCTCCCCGGGCACCAGCGTCTCATTCCCGAATTAGGTTTGCCTAAGGGGTTCTCATTTGATTACAGGTTGCTGCCTACTAATGTTACGTTGCCCGTTGCTTGGAGGTTCCCCCAGTTCCCCATCCCCAGTGCCTCCTATTGTTATTTTGCCCGCTTCTCGGAGGTTCCCCAGGTTCCCCGAGTTCCCCAGGTTCCCCAGGTTTCTTGGGTTCCCCAGGTTCCCTGCCTCTGGTGCCTCGTATTCTTATTGCGCCCGTTCCAAGCAATGCCAAACAACGCCAAGGAACACCAAGCATTGCGCCCGTGCAACCGGAAGCTTTCCCGTAATTGGGATCGCGCCAGGCTCATCCTGAGTGAGCGCCCCCCGAGGCCGAGAATCCTCAAAATGGTCCGCCGAGAATTTGGTCCCCCGGAAGTCTCTATCCCTCTCCCATGACCGGTTTCTCATCATGAGTCGTTCTTTGACGGTCCCGGGGCCCGGTAGGGGCGCCCAGAAGCCGCAAGTTGGAAAAAGTTGCCCGTCGTGATGTTTTCATGACGAAGAGGATCGGCGGCGCGCACAATGGGTTGGCGCGAGAGGGGTGGCCCTCTGAGAAGGCAGGGGCCCTGTCGAAAGCGCCTGGAGGCTTCTAAGAAGGCCATTGCTTTCTGAGAACCCTCCTCAGAAGGCCCCCCGGGGGGCCCCACACAACACAACACATGATGATGATGTCAAGCTTGTGATTGGGATAGCTCGTTTTGTAGGGTTCGCTGGGTGAGCTTTCGGCGACCACATCGCCTCTTCAGAGTGATATGAGATAAGACGGCTATAACCCTCCATCCTGCCCTCCTGCCAGCATTCGCGCGCAGGAGCAAGGAAGGGAGGAGAAAGGAAGGTGCTGCCTGACAGCATCGCGCCCCCCCTCGTGCGCGCAGCCGAAGAAAGAGGTGGCGTGTTTTGTTCAAAGGGATCGTGGCATTCCGGACCAAAAAATGTAGATGCACTGCTGTGACAGCACGATTCCTGCATGAATTGTGGAGTCTTGAGGAAGTCCCGAGCGAAATTGTTGCAGGGCCCCTGCCAGACCGGGCGGTCTCGGGCTCCCCGTCCCACTTTGTGGGATTACTCCGCGGTCCCTGTTCACCACCGCTGAAACCTCTTCGCGAAACGCGATCCGGGAAGAAGAGGTGGGGGGCCCTTGCACGGCACGCGGAGCGCGCGGCCACAGATTGGGAGAGCGTTCGGTCATGATTTGGTTGGTAACGGTCGTTACCTGGGCGGTTGCGGCTCTCGCATGTTCACCCCGCCCACGCTTCATTTTTACCGGGGGCCCACCCCCAGAGGGACAAGGGGTCATGATAATGACACGCTCGAGGATAGCCCGGATATTCCAGGGTCACGAATGCTCCACACTGGCTGCAGAAACGAGGGCCGCAAAATCCTCCTGGCACTCCTGAAGGGCATCCTGAGCCCGCCCACCCACCCACCCGGGCCTTGGGTAACGACCGTCACCCGAAGTGCATACAGATATATATATATATATATATATATATATATATATATACATACATACATACATACAGACATACAGACACACAGACATACAGACATACAGACATACAGACATACAGACATACATACATACATACATATACATACATATACACATATGCAAATGCATATGCATGTACAGGTACATGTATGTAAATGTATATAGATACACCTGTGTATACATATTTGTGTATGTATAATATGTTGCTATATATATACAGATACAAACATACATAGATACATGCATGCATGCATGCATGCATACATGCATACATCTCTATATACATATACACAAACATACATACAAGTATGTAAACATGTATAGATGTAGATAAACATATTGCAATGGCGTGCCATCGATTATTTGCTGCGTAGTGGAGAGCGGGGGGGGCCGCAGGCACTCACGCTCAAGCCTTTTTCCCAGCAAGCTGGGGTATCTGTCCAGGCGGCGAGCAGATTGTCAGCAGGGCTTCCGTGTGGATCCTGGGCGCAACCACAACCCTGCTGGCGGCCTGGCTGACGCGAGCACCGCCGGCGTGCCCGGCGGTGTCGTGCCCAAACCTCTCGCGCGGGGCGGTGCACTGCCAGGCGGCCGAAGAGCCGCTGACTTACCCGGCGCCCCCCGCGCCGCCTCCGCTGCCAGTGGATACACCCGCACTGGGGCCAGTGGAGCCGCCTCCGAACTCAGACTGGAGCTGGGCGGCGTTGCCGCTGAGCCACGGTGGTGGTTTCGATCCAGCTTCGGCGCGGGCTCCTCGGGATCGCGAAAGGCCGCCACAGTGCCACCACCGGGCGGCGTCCTGCGCTGGGCATAGGTGCTGTATCGAGGCGAGCAGCTTACGCACCAGCGGAGACTCTGGGGCAGATTGGCGAGT